GCATCATTGTGGCACTGCAGGAGGCCCAGGTTGCAGGTTGCAGGAACAGCAACTCATATTCCACTTGGGAACCCTGCAGCCCAATGGTATCAATGTGGACTTCACAAGCTTCAAAATCTCCTCTCCCCCTACCGCATCCCAAAACCAGCCCAGCTCGTCCCCGCCTCCCTAACCTGTCCTTCCTCCCACCTATCCCCTCCTCCCACCTCAAGCTCCATCCCCATTTCCTTCCTACCTACTAACCTCATCCTGCCCCCTTGACCTGTCCGTCCTCCCTGGACTGACCTATCTCCTCCCTAACTCCCCACCTACACTCACCTTTACTGGCTCCATCCCCGCCTCTCTGACCTGTCTGTCTCTTCTCCACCTATCTTCTCCTCTATCCATCTTCTATCCGCCTCCCCGTCTCTCCCTATTTATTTCAGAACCCCCTTCCTCTCCCCCACTTCTGAAGAAGGATCTAGGCCCGAAACATCAGCCTTCCTGCTCCTATGATGCTGCTTGGCCTGCTGTGTTCATCCAGCTCTACGCCCTGTTGTCTCAGTGTCATTTCCGGTTTTGTTCTGTATGGGTTTATATATTGGACCCCATATATAAGATCAAAACCGGAAATGACACTACTCTCCATAATGGACCGGATAGTATAAATTCCGAGCGGAGTAGAATAACATCGCTTTATCGGAGGCTCCACTGATCATGTCACCTAGTATGGTGACGGAATGTCTGAACGAGAACAAGCCAGCTCGGGAAGCATGTCAACAACCTCATTGGTCATTCCTAAGCCTTTTAAATTCTAAAGAATAAAGGCCTAATGTGTCTATCTTTCCTCATAAATTGACCCCTGAAGCCTAGCTGTCATCCTTGTGAACCTGCATTGACCTCCCTCCAGGGCCAAAATATCCTTCTTAAGGTGTGGTGCCCAGATCTGCTCACTGTACTCTAAGTGGGGTCTAACTAGGGATTTGTACAACTGCAGCATAATGTCTACATCCCTATACTGCAGCTCTTTAGATATAAATGCCAGCATTCCATCCAGTTGGTGAGTGAGTGAGCACCAGGAGGATTAGTGAGCAGCGCTGAGAGACAACCTGGTCAACCCCATGAGTGGGTGCCTGTCGCTGTCCCTGCTGCGGAAGGTGCTGGAACAGCCTGAGGTGCAGCATTGAAATGCAGAACAACACATTCAGGAAGGTGCCATCAGGAGATGGTGAGCTGGGACATGTCGGGTGCCAAGGTCTGTCGATGAGGGCTGTGTGTATGTGCTCACTGCCAACACAGTGTTCCCTGGGAGGTTGGTGCTGGTGCCCAGGATAAAGACCCAGAGGAACAAGGGGTGAGCTGGAATCACTCAGTAATGACTGAGGGGACATCTCAGCCAGTAGTTTCTATCGGGGGGGAGCGGGGGGGTGGAGGCAGAATGAAATGGTGAATATTCACAAGGTGAGGTTCAGTAATAATGCTGGTGAGAATGAGCAATAACTCTCGTTGGTAGATCTCCTGAGACTCTCACCTCAGGATTCATTAAACAACATGACTTGTTGCTTTAGACGTTGAGAAAGACTTCCCACAGGAAATTTCTCACCACTCCCTCACTCCAACAGCTCACACTCCCTCACTCTTACCCCCTCTCCCCACCTTTATGTCTTCATATAAACCGACATTTTCCCAGCTACCATCCATTCTGAGGAAGGGTCACCAGACCCGAAACGTTAACTCTGTTTTTCCCTTCACAGATGCTGCCAGACCTGCTGAGCTTTTCCAGCAACTTCTGTTTTTTGTTCCTGATTTACAGCATCAGCAGTTCTTTCAGTTTTTATTGAGGTTTGTTTTTTTTAGTTTAGCTAGGGCATGGTGGTCGGCACAGGCTTGGAGGGCCGAAGGGTCTGTTCCTGTGCTGTACTTCTCTTTTGATCTTTGTTCTTTTGAATTAAGGATAAAGAAATACAGAGAGCCCAAAGCAAGATTCAGCTGTTTGTCTCCCATCTGTGAACCGCTATTTTTAGATAATCTTTTTTAACTGGACAGCCCATTTGTTCAGTCGTCTTCCTCTGTTTTATACATTCGATAATAATTTTGGAAAAGGACAAAGAGAGGCATCACACATTGTGTGGAAGAGCTCAAAGTGAATGTTAGAATAATAAATGTGTTTGAAATGTTTAGCCCATGGCTTGTAGTCCTGGCTCTGACTGTGTGTATTGCAGTGGGTAAGTACATCCTCAAATTGGGCTCAGGTTTGTTTCATTACATCTCACAGTTTGATATCAAGGTGTTGTTTATGGTCTGATCGTTCTGTTTAAGGATTGAGAGTGTTTTGACTTTAAGGGAAAATGCAGCATCTGATATCACATTGAATCGGTGGCTCACTAAGATCAGCCCTGTGTGCAGTAGGTATCTGCACAACAACAACTGACAAGAAGATACACTCATCTGTATGACACCACACCCACACACTCTCCTCCAAACCACACACACTCATGTCAGTGTGATCAGTGAGTGTGACCTGTCAGAGTGTGAACGATCGGAGTGTGAGCTGTCAGTGAGTGAGGGAGTGTGAGCTGTCAGTGTGTGAGGGAGTGTGAGCAGTCAGTGTGTGAGGGAGTGTGAGCAGTCAGTG